TTCAAGTGCTTCATTAGCACCTATATCCACTGGGTACCATATTCCTGGCACTCCTTTAGACACTGTTTGTTCTCCAACCTTCAGAGGAGGAACTGTAACACCCACCCAATGCCTTGCACCATGCCAATCCCTTCCTGAAACAGGAGTGGCATTGTTCCTAAAGCCTTGGGAATTTTCCTTCCTTGGCATGTTTACGTCGCCCCTTTGTTCTGACTGCTTTCTGAGCTATCTGCAGCATCATCGGTGACTTGAGATACTCTCAGGTTTTCCTTTCCCATTGTAAACAAAGTTTTGAGTATTTGGGACTGGAGAGATGGCTCAGTGGTTGAGAGTGCTTGCTGCTCTTCTGGAAGACCTGAGTGTGGTTCCCATCACACACTCTGAGCAGCTTATATCTGACTGTAACTCCAGCTCTAGAGAATCTGACACTGCCTTCTGTCTTCCACAGGCACCTGCACACACATGTGCACACATATGCATATACACATGTCACATATACATAAAACTCCAATATTTTACTCATAGTATCTATTTTTCAGGATTTTGATAATATTTGTCTTGGGTTCTTATTCGCTTTTCTTCATATGCACATAGAACAATCAAACCCACACAGGCGTCCAAATATGAGGCAATGTTTAATTGTACAAAGAAAATTCAAGAGAGTGTTCAAAACCTATTCTGTTCTAAGGTTGTTCATTTAAATTTAAATTGTTTTGTTTCAAGTCTAATTAGGAATATTTTCCTTAGGATGGATGTGGATGTAGCCTGGCACATGTAATTCTCAGAACCATAAAAATATGTTCATGGAAATGTCTATTTTATGAATATCATCATAAAATAATCTTTACCTGCGATGAAATTTTATTTTACGTATTTTGCCTGAAGACTTTGAAAAGTGATGCACCCACCTGGGACTCAGGGACCATCATGGAAGAGGGGGCAGAAAGTTTGTAAGAGCCAGGGTGGAGGTGCAAGACCATTTGGGAACAGAGTCCTACAAGCTCCTGGAACCCTGCTCCTATAGCAATGATGTCAGCATATACAAGTCCCATGCAAAATCAGGCAGACAAAAACCCAGCATATAACTGGGGAAATGAACAGCAGATGCCAATCTTAGTTGGAGAAATATTGGCAACTGATTACCACAAGGTGAGAAAGAGCTGACCCTCCTAAAACAAGAGATGCTAGATAGTCTGACTAGACCTCAGTGGATGGACTTGCACTGGGTAACGTCTGGACACATTGACTTGACACAGTGGGCCTTAACACAGATGACAGAGTATATGGGGGTTCCAGTGGGGGGGGCTATGGGAGGATGGAGGTTTAAAGATGGTAAATATTGTTTGAGATATTCTGTATGATATATACAAAAATTCAATAAAAAATTTAAAAAAATCATTGAACCTACAATCATTAATATGATATATTCATGTCTGTGATGGAGATCATCCTAGCACACCATAAAGCCTTTATGAGGTTAAATGAGGTAATAAGTAGAAATTATTTTCTTCACCATGAATGTTCACATTAAAAGCCCATTTGTAAAAGGAAGAAATGAGAAATATGCATTTGGGAAGACGTTGTCCAGGAGATGGGCTGTATGAGTTCTCGTGTATTTGCACAGGCAGTCACTGAATTCCATCACAATGTATGCTTTGTCTAATATAGGAAATAAGTCATATGGCTATTTGTTGAAGTTGAGATTTTACTATAAAAGACATGCAGTAAAGATTGGGTGACATTTTTACATCATTGAACTTTAGATAAATTAGTGAAAATTAGATCTATGTCAGAATCTCAGACAAGGATGTGTCACAATTTAATTAGTAATATGCAATTCATCTTACAGTTGATCGACTGTGTGGTTGACTGAACAATCATCCCTAACGATGTCTTTGTCATGACCTGTGAAACCTATCAGTCAATGATGAGGTCATGAGTTAGTCAAGTGGGTCCAGTGAAACCACTGGAGCCATATAAGGAAGCAGAAGGGTCAGAGTGAGCTGTTGAAGATGTTATGGTACAAACAGACTGTGAAATGATGCAAGGAGAGACCAGGCGTCAAGGAGCACAGATATCCTCCATGTTTAAGAATTCCAGAGGAAAATTAAACTATTAAGTGATTATTTCTGCATCCCAGAACTACAGATGACTTTCCATTTTGACACTGTCCCAATTTTCTATAAGTAGCATTATCTTCACAGTGGAAAAGCACATTAATTTATTTAAGAAGCAGACATCATTATAACACTCTGTGATGCAATGTGAACAACAGTGCTGTGTTTAATCCCCTTTTTAATCAATCATTAAATATTTTCAGAATCATAGGTCTGCATGTCCCAAGTAGTGTGGTCATCCTAGATCTCAGTTTGGTATTGAAAGCACTGGTTGGTTTTAATAACGCTCCAGTTATGATCATCCCTTGGCCAGCTCTGGTGAGCTGTATGACCAGGGCAGGGTGCTTTTGGAGGTAATGATTTAAGCAGATTCTGGCCATCATGTCAAGAGAATGGAAAACAAGAGTGAAACAGGAAGGAAAGCTGCAGAACGATTCTGCTTCCGTCATATGTGGGAGAAGGAGTTAGTCTTAGAACTATGTTTGGTTGACCTTGGAAAAGTCATTCCAGTCCTTGAGCCTCAGTCTTGCTCTGTGTGATGAGGGCATAGCCCTCATATTTCGTAAATACATGTGTATATGAATGTATTCTATGCACAGTTAAGCTTATTGGGTCTGGTTAAGTAGTGAGACCGATCAAAAAAAAGTAAACGCAGGCTGGAGTGATGGCTCAGTAGTTAAGAGCACTGGCCGCTCTTGAAGAGGACGTGGTGACGAGGACATGGTGGTGGTGGTGGTGGGGATTCAGCTCCTAGCACCCATGTGACAGTTAACAACCATAACTTCAGTTTCAGGGGATTCAGCATCTTGTTCTGGTCTCTACAGGGATTGACGCATGTGTTGTACTTAAATGAAGACAAAACATTCATACACATAAAATAAAAATAAATGTTTTTTAAAAGGCAATGCAAAAAGGAAGGCTATGCCTGGATTTGTAGTCTCATTTTCACTCCTACAGGGCTTGCTATGAACTGGCTTTAACCAAGTCCGTGGCACTGTGCAACGTGCTGCATCTTACGTCAGCATCAACTATCTCACACTAGCCTATTTTTCACAATGTCAGAAAATAAACTGTGGAATGTACTGAAAGGTTTAAGCTCACGATGGCTTACACCAGCAGCACCTTGATGCCAGCCAATGAGCCTAGAGACTTGCCACCTAACTGCTCTTGAAGGAATACATTCATAGCCTTGGACACAGGGTCCACATTTTTCAAGGAAAATCAAGCACATTAACAAAATATGACCGCTTTCCAACTAAATGCAAGGCCTGCTATGTTGCCAATAACCATAAGGTTAAGTAAGGATCCGTTTCTGGATTCTGTCCTTTATGAAATTTTACTCTAAGTCTGAAATGTTCTGAGATATTTACTAAGTATTTTTTTTCCAGGAAATGTTGATAACATGCCTATTCTTCGAAGCAAACTAGGGTTACTTAATGCAGATTTTAAAGAGTTTATGGGCCTTATAGGGTAGAATAATCACACACAGATTTAGTGCTAATGCAAACCAGAAAGACAAATGTCAGAGAGAGACATGGGTGAAAGAAATATGAAGCCCACGTGCTCAGGCAGTAGGTGGCCTTGGAGAGCATGTGGGTACATGACACTGAAGGCTGCCAGACACCTGAATTCAAGACGTGAGGTGGAAGAAGAGAGTCTTCTTGGTGGAGGAAATAGGAGAAGTTTTGCAAGTGGAGGTGTACAGTATTCATGGTGTATGTAGAGGAGCTAAGGCTGAAATGTAATAGTAATTGCAACTCCAGGCTGGGGAGCCATGGCATAAAGATGGAAATAATAAAGTCTGGATTGCAAGGCTGTGAATAGCCACATAAGGAGACCATACTTCATTCCATACATGAAAGAACACCATGGAGGATTTTGAAGCAACTATCTAATTGATCCACACTCACCCGCCCCTCTCATAGGGTCAATGGTCATTCTCACCTTGTCGTTTCAAAGACATTATACTTTCTCACTCAATAAGTGAACAAGATTCCAAATGGCTTCTCCACACACTGTGCAATGACACGGACTTTAACTCTTAAATATCTGAAAGTCTGTGAAGGAAGATTTCCTTTCTTCCTCTAGGATTTCTAGTTTGGGCTGGTGTTGGAAAAGGAATGGACCCATTATGTGTTATAATGGGAGCTTTTTAGGGGCAAAAGGGACTTGGGTGCACTGACCATATCCAATGGTCTCTAGGATCCACTGTCCCCGCCTTCTATACCATCATGTTTGGCTGTGGCCCTGACACAAAGTCTGTGTTCCTTCTGCCTCTTTGCTCCTTGTATTGGTTCTAAATCTACATTCTGTATATAACAAAACAGCATCAAATCAACCTTACTATATGCATATGAGTGTGCATCTATAATATATACATTTTGCTCAAAATGCTAATAGCACCTACTCTCATGTTTTTATAACTCATGTTTTCATAACTCATTTTGCAGTGAAAGTGCTATTTCCACAGCATTTTGACAGCAGACGCACCACATTGCATCTCATACACAGTCAATTTGCAAAGAGTAGTTATTTATCAATTAAGTCAAGCTTTTCAGCACCCAGGATAGACGGGTTTTCCTCCTAGGTCTACGAGAACAGCTGGTGGACATATTTGGTATTAGGACAGAAAAGTGTGGTTTTTATTTTCCTTTAGTTCAGTAAAAGGCAAGATGGCTTGTTTGCTTAAGAGCTTCAGAGATAAGGGATCTGACCTCATCATCTGAAAGTAATCTATCAGTGTGTATGTGTGTATGCAATGTGTGTGAGATCAGCCAGCTTGACACTGATGAATCACGTGCTAAATATCAGATCCAGGTGTTTGCACATGTGCCCACAGCCTGTCCACCAGCGGGACTTTCATGGGCTGGATGCCGCACTCACCTCAATGAAGAAGATGCTGGCTGCTGATGTGGGATGGTGGTACATATAGACTGTCACCAGAATGGCAGCTGCTATAATGAGGAGCAGGATGAGGATTCCAACGATGAGGCCGGCGTGGAGCGTTCCGCCTTTCTTCTCTGCCGCGCTGTCATCTGTGGAGGCTGAAAGGCGATTACAGATGTCAGGTTCTTCCTAAGCAAAGCTTTAAACTTCAGATTTTCATTTGTGGGAAATTTGTGTTTTTAATCAAGGTACATCAAATCTTTATTACTTCTTGATCTTTTTTTTTCTTTTTGTCTAAAAGACACATGTTTGAAGTTATTTGAGCAATGAAAATCCAAACTGTTAATGCCTCAAAATTAATTTAATATGTTTTTATGGTGCTGGGAACTAAACCCAGGGCTTTGCGCATGCTAGACAAGAACCCTAGTATAAACCCCTGTAATAGTGTTTCAATTTCTAGATCAACAAACAAAGCTACTAGTTTTTTGTGTACGTGTAGGTATGTGTTTGTGGTGTGTGTGTGTGTGTGTGTGTGTGTGTGTGTGTGTGTGTGCCTGCCTGTATGTGTGTGGGTGTGCGCGAATATGTCTGCATGTGGGTGTGGAGGCCAAGTCAATGTTGAGTGTCCTTTTTAATTGCTCCTGACCTTATTTTTAGAGACAGGGTTTCCCACTATAACCAGAGCTCACTGATTTGACTAGACTGGTTGGCCAGCAAACCTCAGAGATCTTCCTGTCTGTCTCCCCAATGCCATGTCCAGCTTTTTGCATGAGTGATGGGGATTTGAACTCATGTCTTTGTATTTGCACACCAAACACTTGAAAGACTGAGCCATTTCCTTCCCCCTTTATCAAGACTAATATAGCTTTTAATCTGAAAAGCACTATGAGAAAATCTCAGGCTGTTTAACTATACAATAAGTTTAGCTTTCTTTTTTTTTAAACATTAAATGGACATTGTTACTTACCAAAAAATGAACTACATTTGAAAATCTTGCTCATATTCTGTGTGGAATTTTGCATGAAGGAGTATTGCCTTTGTGGGAGGAGATGAACAACTCAGGCATTTTCAGTTTATACATGAGCTCAAAGCACAATTTTCGAAATCTGTTTTAAGCTGAAAATCTCTTTAGAAGTCTAACGGATGGTTGCTAAATGACCCTCAAATAATTTTATCACTTTCTAAAGGGAAAACTGCAGCACATAAGATCCCACTGTTCCATAGGCTGGTATGGTTTTCTCTAACTTTTACTGAGGTGCATGCCACTATAAAACAAGTTTTTTGAGTTAGAAAAAGGAGAAATTTAATTTCAGAAGTAATTACCCAACCCAAAGTCAATCAACCAGATAAAACTAATCTCTGAAGTGTTCTATGATTCAGCAATCTTTGATGACTGTTCAGGCATTTAGAAATATTCCTACATTATGTGTGGCAGGTACCTTAGTGCACAATATACCTGGTATTTTTGAATCATTAAACAATTCCTCAAGAGTAATAGAAGCTCTAGTGGCTTTCAGTCTTTAGTAACATTTTATCTCTTTGTTGATTTTACCCTTTGTTTACATGCTTTAAACAAGTTTTCTGCTAAACTTCACTTACCAAACCCAGTTTATTTATTTTTGTTTTTGTTAGTAAAATATGGACATGGTTTCATATCAGAATGAGTAGTATATGTGAACTTAGAGAATTCTGGATAAAGCAAAAAATGCTACCCAGTTCTTTGTAACCTCCCTTTAATCTACTTCCTTCCTCCCTTCCTCCCTTCCTCCCTTCCTTCTTTCCTTCTTCACTGGTGGGAACCAAAGCCAGAGTTTCATTCCAGCTCTCCCTTAATTTGTTCACTGCCATTGTTTGTACGTTGCCTGAGCTCTTTGATTTTCAATAATCCTTCCCTAAGCCCCAAGGCTTAGGGAAACCTGGTACTTTCAAATAAATTTTTTTAAAAAACCTGGTACTTTCAAATAAATAAAAATTAACTAAAAATACAGTTCAAAAATTAGTCTTTGAGAAAGGGAGCAGAGGTTAAGTCTGTCTTGTGTCTTCTGTGGTTTATGTTGATGTCTGCCATCAGAAACACTTGCTCATGTTTGGCGGACACGTAGGATGTTGCTTGAGAGCAGAAGAAAGTGAAGGGCAAATAAAGGCCACTGAAAACATGGGACAGCTTTGGGACGACTTCCCACAACAACTGAATATGGCTTTACTAAATGACTTCCTCTGTCTTGTCTTCAGTTAATCTCCACTATGGTCAGTGACGCTATCACTTCACAGAGTTCCTGGGAGAACTCAATATATACACACGACATTCTTAGGGAAGCACCTGGCATGTGTAAGCAAAGAATTAATGCTAAGCTGAATGTATTTTTATATGAATCAGAGCGAGGCAAATTATAGTGGCAGATTGATGATACCATATGTTTTTATACTTAAAATTTGTTGCTTTTAGACACTTGCCCTCATTTTAAGTGTGCATTATGACTGAGTGGTCTTATGAGCTAGACCCATTTCTAGTTTTTCCAAGGGTATGACCTACTAACTTTTATAGGAAAATAGGATTAATTTAAAATGTTATAATGGGAAAAGTTTAGCAACATATCTACTTGAGCCATAAAACTCCTTGACTGTTTCTTTGAACACTGTACATAGTTCTACCTATCTCTCCCACTAGCCTCTTGCCAGCCTTCCCTCACTCTTTGTTCTCTATCCTTCCACCCCTCGATCTCCCGGCCCCCACCCTTCCATCCTTCCATTCCTCCATCCCTCCATCCACTCCTTCTTTCTCCCCTATTTGTCTCTCACAGACTTACTGACTTATTTCTTCCTTTCTATTGATCCATCAGTCAGTCAACATCTGTTCTTTGTCTGGGGTTCAAATTCTTTTATAAATATATATTTATTATTTTTATTTTATTTTATGCATATGAGTGTATTGCCTGCATGTCCTTAAGTACACCCATGTTGCAAAATAACCAAGGAGGACAGAAGAGGCCATCAGATCCCCTGGAACTGGAGTTTTGGACAGTTGCTAGCTGCCATGTGGGTGCTGGGATTTGAACCCAGGTCTTCTGCAAGAACAGCCAGTATTAACTGCTGTGCCATCTCTCCTGTCCCTCAAACTCTTTTATACACAGCACACCAAGTTTCAGCCTCATGTGCTTTGTGTGTGCATGATAGGGAAGGGAAGGAAGAGGCATTGTGCCAACTTCAGGGTGTTACTTCTTGAGGAGACCAGAAGACAGAACTGCTGTGGGGGCATCAGGCAAGAACCTGCCGTTCCCAGGAAGATGAGAGCAAAAGATATATTTTAGTTAGAAAGCATCCCCTCAGAACTGAAATCATCTTTGAATTGCAGGACCTAAATTGTCAATCTTCAGAATATAAAACAAAACCAAATTTGCCTCTTTAGTGTGGTGAAGCTCATTCAGTCTTTTTATGAAGGCATGAATCTCTATTGCTACCACCATTTGTCAGTTAGGCTACAATGATTTAGGGTGTATAATCATCCTCTTAAAATGTACCTTTACTTTGCTCTTTTAGACATTCTGATTTCTTCTCATGTTTAATGTATCTTGTACCAAATCTAGTTTATTGCAAAGTGAAGAATTATTTCATAATATTTTGGATGATGAGGATGATAATAATAATAAAATAAGTCATCTTCATGGCTTCTCAAACACTGGTAAACTTCAGACAAATATTTACAGACCTGGGAGGGTAAAGGGGCTCTGGTGTATCAAATATAGTGTTTTCATGAAAGCAAACCATTTAAGGAAAAATGCAGCATATGTAATTCTACAGTATCACAAACCTGTGTTTGTTTCAAAGTGCTTCCCAGTCATCATCTAAATAACATGAGAAAATGGCACCTGTATTTTGGAGGACGTATTTCCGTATTTTATCTTATATATGTTTTATTTATTATTTTTATGTGTATGAGTATATTGCCTGCATGTATGGAAGTGTACCTGTGTCATGTATGCAATGCCCACTGAAGACAGAAGAGGGAGTCAGATCCCCAAGAACTGGAGTTACAGGTGGTTGTTAGCCACCATGTGGGTTCTGGGAATTGAACCCAGGTCCTCTGCAAGAGCAGCCAGTGTTTTTAACTGCTGAGACATCTTTCTAGTCCCTTGACCAATTTCTTTTTTGAAATAGGATCTCCCTGTAACCCCAGCTGGCCTCGAGCTCTCTATTTAGACCAGATTGGCTTTAATCTTACAGTGATCCACCTGCATCTCTCTCCTGAGTGCTGGTAATAAATGTATGTGCTACCATGCCTGGGCTAACCAATTTCTCCTTTAATGATTTTATAAATATTGTAGAAATTTTTATTCCAGCTGCTTTCTAAGGACTGTAGAAATTCACAGAAACAGATACTGTAATGGTATATTAAAGGCTGTTGAATTGGAACATCTGGATAGATATGATTTGATTCTAGATGATATTTTTACATAAATGGATGACTGATGATATAGATGATAGAGAGATGGTAGATAGATACAAAGATATATACATACATAGATATATACATAGATAGATAGATAGATAGATAGATAGATAGATAGATAGATGATAGATAGATAGATAGATAAAGAGAAAATGTAGGTGCTCCTCTGTTAAAAATGACTAGCATCTCAAAGGGAAAACTGAAATGCAAAAAGAAAAAGTGAGTGTTTAGTAATTCCCGTCATTGAAATTTAATTCCTTCATCTCAAGAGAAGCCTACTCAAATAAATTGATATCAATCCATCCTCAGAAAAGGCAATAAACTGAAATGTCATCTTTGTAAATATTCATTCTTGGTCTTTTAAACTGGCAGATAAAAGTGAGTCAAAGAAAGCAGTGCGCCTGCCTCAGGTGTACACTTTTGTTCAGTTTGTCAGAGTCTGCAAAGTGTTAGGGGACTATTCATGCAAAGTCACAAGGAAACCAGTCCTGAGGCCCAAAATCTTATGCTTTTCTTAGAAATATCTTAGGCTCTTTTATTTATGTCCAAAACCAAATAACTATCAACGCAACTGTTATACATCAGAGAGTTCAAATCACCAGTCTTTATTTTTACTTTAAATTGCATACTAAAGTAAGAGGAATTAAAGATAAAAGTCAGTAAGACATCATAAAATGGGATCTAAGCCAAAAATGTAGCATAGGAACGCAC